ATACACTAGGCTAGATGGTACAGCCTACAATACACTAGGCTAGATGGGACAGCCTACAATACACTAGGCTAGATGGTATAGCCTACAATACACTAGGCTAGACGGGACAGCCTACTATACACTAGGCTAGACGGGACAGCCTACTATACACTAGGCTAGATGGTACAGCCTACAATACACTAGGCTAGATGGTATAGCCTATTGCTCCTAGGCTACAAATCTGTACTGAATACTGTAAGCAATTGAAACAGTAAAAATATAGCCTAAAAGATGGGGAAAAAAAGTACACTTGTATAGGGGACTTACCATGAATGGAGCTTGTAGGACTGAAAGTTGGTCTGGGAGTCAGTGAGTGCATGATGAGTGAACGTGAAGGCCAGGGACATTACCATACACTACACTTAGGCTACACTAGATTTATATTTTTTAGGTTTTTTCTTTAGGAATAAATTATTCTTGTTTTACTGTAACAACTATTTTACTTTACAAGCTTACCTTTTTTTAACTTTTTGACTTAAAAATGTGTTTATTTTATGTACAAAGAGCTGTCATGGTTTTTCATTGGGTAGATGCCTTGAATAAACCTTTCAAGGAAGATCACTTAGTCCAACTTAATGAAACCTTTACCCTTTGCAAACTGATAGAAACACTGGTGGTACACAGATCAGGCCTTGCTGGTTTGAGCAGAAGCAGCAAGAGCGAGAACCTTGCTGGAGCTTTCGAGAGTGGCTCCGGGACAGCCGGCTGGTGACCCAACATGCTCCAGGAGTGAAACGAGATAAAAGGCCTTTTTGACTTTTTTGTAAAAATACTTGGTTTAAAACACAAACACATCATACAGCTGCACAAAAATATTTTCATTATAGCCTTATTCTATAAGCCTTTTCCAATTTTAAAAATTTAATTTTATTTTAAACTATTTTGTTAAAAACTCAGACACAAACACACGCATTAGCCTAGACCTACATAGGGTCAGGACCATCCCTGCCCTTGTCTTCCACGTCCACATCCTGTCCCACTGGGAGGTCTTCAGGGGCAGTGACACATGGAGCTGTGATCCCCTGTGACAGCAAGGCCTTCTTTGGGATCCCTCCTGAAGGGCCTGCCTGAAGCTGTTTTATAGTTACTTTTTAAAAAATATATAAGTAAAAGGAGTACACTCTAAATAATAGTAAAAAGCATGGTATAGTAAATACAAAACCCAGTGACAGCTGTTTATTATCAAATACGTTGTGCTGCCTGTAATTGTATGTGCTGGGCTTTCATACAACTGGCAGTGTGATGGGTCGGTCTACACCAGTGTCACATGAACATGTGAGTAAAGCACTGTGCTAAGACCTTAGGACAGCGGCGATGTCACTAGGTGACAGTGAGCTCTCAGCTCCGTTAGGATCCTGTGGGACCACTGTTGTGTCTGTGGTCTATCATTGACGTCATTATGCTGCAGGTGACTGGGCCCTCCTCACGCCTCTCTTGTAGTTTCTCCTTCTTGCTATATTGTCATCTCTTTCGACAAGCGTAAGAGAACCTTGAAAATAGAAACTGCATCCTACTTATCAGCACCTCGCTTGGAAATCACTTATTCTCCATACTCCAAAATCACTCTCCTGGTTCTCCTGCTTCACTGGAGTGGCCGCTGAGGTTTCATTCGGAGGCGCTGCCTTTTCTCCCAGCGTTTGCCTGGTGAAGAGCTGCAGGGCTGAGGCCAGGCCATCCTCTCTGGCTGCACTCACTCCTTGCTGGTACTACTGGGTGTCAGAGCCATAAACGCGCTTTATACTCGAATGCCTTCCACGCGTCCATCTTCAGGGCTGACCTTTGCTTTGAAATGCAGACCTGTGTCTTCTCCAGTGTCTAGAGACGTTTCATGTTTGGCTGATATATGCCAGACACTTCCTTTCCCCGGCAAACTGTCCTCTGTATCCTTCATTTTGTTAAAAGTCACTACATGTGCACAGGAACTCAGGTCAAAAGCCTCAGACTCACTTTTGACTCCTCTCTTTCTCTCACACCCGAAATCCAATCTGTTAGCAAAGCCTGGTTTACCTTTAAGATAATCCAAGCTGCAGCTCTTTCTCACCACATGCCTGCCCCCACCATAGCATGGCCCGCACAGCCTTCCCCAAGAATGACCTCAGCACCTCCTCACTGACTTCCTGCCCTAACTTGTTCCCCTCAGTGTGCTCGCCATGGGCCCTGGAGACCGATTCTTTTAAGGAGTGAATCAGCTGAAGTCCTTGTCCTGCTCAAAAAGCACTCACAGCTTCCCAACATGCTGAGAATAAAATGCAAACTTCTTACAATGACTTGGACTCCTCCATGTACTCAGCCCTGTGGTTCACCCTCATGCCCCAGCCCCATTGCTTGTCTTCCAGGCGCAGCAGTCCTCTTGCTCTTTCCCAAGAGTGCTCCTTGCTCAGACAGTGTGGATTCCCTCTGCTGGACAGCCTGCCTTCAGGCACCTACTGGTGCACCGACCACCTCATCTCACTCAGGTCTCTGCTCAAATTGCCCTTCCACAGAGGTGCTCATGGTATATAAATTGGAATTCCACCCACTCACTCTTTTTCCCCATCCCTTGTTTTGTTTTTATTCATAGCATTAATCATTGCCTGAAACTACATTATATATTTCATTCATTCATTCATTCATTCATTCATTCATTCATTTATTCAACAGATATGTGCTAAGCCTCTGCTTTGAGTGAGGCACTGTTCTAGGGGTGGGGTCTACACCCAATAGCCAAGATACACAAAGGTCCTGCTCACAAGGAGCTTACATCCTAGCAGAGGAAAACGGATCTTCAGCAACTTGGCAAATAAAGGAATCCTATACTGGGACAGTAGGTGCTGGAAGATAAATGATGCAGTATAAAGAAAACATGGAGACATGGCAGGTGGAGCTTGGGGCATGCCTTTTTTATCTGTCCGGTGAACATAGAGTCTGACAAGTAAAGTGACATTTGAGTAGAGACACTGAAGAGAGTGTCACAACCAGAGGAGACAGCAAGCAAACTGGTATGACCAGGACATTAAGGGAGCCTGAGTCTTGACTGAGGGAATAAGGAAAGGCATGAGAGGTGTCACATGGCCAGGAAGCATAGGGTTTTGAGACCCATGGTAAAGATTCTGGCCTTTACTGTGAGTGAAAAGGGAGGTCATGCAGGGCTTGGAGCAAAAGGTGGGCATGACTGAGGGGCCCGGGAGGAGAAACAAAGATGACAGTTAAGGGCCCTGCAAAACTGCAGGAGAGACAATAGACCTGCACCAACGTGGTGGGGGTAGAGGCAGTGAGTTTCAGATTCTGATACAATCTGAAGGTAGAACCAGCAGGATCTGCTGATGTATGGGGTATGGCTCAAGAGAGAAAGAGTAGAATCAATTTGACTCCATGTTTTGGCTTGAACAACTAAAAGAATGGAGTGGTGTTGTTATTGTTGTTGTTGTTTTAAACAGAGGAGAATGAGACAGGAACAGGTTGAGAAGGGGCCAGGAAATTCATAGTTCCATTTGAGGCATAGTGAGCTTGAGAACCCCAGTTTGGCTTCTGGTAGATATGTCAAGCAGGCAGTTGAATCTATGACTCAGGAATTCAGAGGAGAGGTTTGAGCATCATCAGAAAATCGATAGCATTTGAAAGCATGATATAGGATTTATTTATTGTCTTTCGGTCCTACCATGAGGGTCGGGACATTGTTTTGTGTTGTTCTATCTGTAATTTCCAGAAGAGTGCCTGGTGCAGAGGCATTGCTCAGTAAATATTTTGAATGAATGAGTGCTTCAGTAGACAGCATCTAGCTCATGATCGGTACATTATAAATACTTGATGACTGAATGGATAATGGCTATCCAGAGGGGTTAGCACAATACCTGGTATACAGTAGCTTCGCAATACATACTGGGTGGATGATTGACAGTTTCAACATGATTCTGTACAGAACTGAATTGCCTGTCTCCAGGACCAGATGTGAGAACAAAGAAGCCATAAAATGTAAGGATTTCATGACCGTCTTTTTCTGTGAGGCTAAATTGTGTGTGGTGGCGGAATCTCCAGCAAACCTGGGTGGATCAGAAGTTGGACCTGCTGGTAACTACAGTTTAACCATAGAACTATGGAAATGGTGGAAGATGCCACGACTGCCCTCAGTAGAATGAGCACAAAGGTAGAGCTGAGGAAGAGGGAAGGGAAGCGCTCCAGAAAGAAGCAAGTTTCCTCCTCGCATCTCGAAATCTGCTGAAATGCTCTTCCCTTTATATCCAGACAAGGAGGACATGTGCAAATATTTTCCCAAAGGGAATGCAATTTCTACACTGATCCCCTAGGGTGTGCCATAAATATTTTAGAAGCATATCAATCTCTTGTTTTCTTACGATTCCCTTCTCTCTAGCTTTTAATCCAAGCTGCCTTCACCTCCTGCGTCTCCGTCCACGTCCCTTTACAGCTTTTATGTTTCCTTTTCCCTTCCTGTGTCTGCTTTCTGCTTTCTTTCTCCTATCCTTCCTGGACTCCCATTTCTTTGTTCAAAAATGTTCCCAAAAAAAGGAGAAGGGGAGAAAAGATGTGCAGAGCATCCCAGTGGGAGAGAACTGAAGAAAAAGAATTGCCAATTTTGAAGAGCCTTTCCCTTTCTATTGCAATGTTTTGTGCTTGCCCATATCAAATCTTTAAAGAAAATACTAACATTAATAATACATAGTCTGCTTTGTTCAATTTCATTTTATCCTGATCCAAAGGACTTGGAATGCAAGGTATAGGAGAGTGTTTATCTCATGCTTCACAAAAAGCAGAATGATTGCCCCCATCCTGCTCCTATGTGCCTCTTTTCTCATCTGTTTTGATTTCTGGGTGCAAAACAATTTCCGCTTGTTGTGGGAGCACTGGCAACGTCTCCCAGAGCTTCCTAAGAGCCATGTCCCAGCTGTTGCCAGCTGTGCTCCCTGTAGGGTGCCTTTCCCTGCCGGGCAATGCCTTTGGCTGCCTTTTAGGCCTTCGGATTTGCCAATCCACTTTATGATCTCTTGTTATGGTCACCTTTGACCCCAGAAATAACAGTCTCTGTTGTCAGATTCCCTTCAAATCCAAGAAGTTGTTGTCAATCACACTTCTGTAAATGCAAGAAAGACATTTTCAGTTGAAAGGTGTTGGGTTTGTCTTCCCATACTGCCGTGAATCATGCATATGCCCCATGTGCTGCTACTTATAATAAAACTGCATAACCATTACCTCTTTAAAAATAGATGTTTTTATTCTGTTTTCAATAGTGTTCATGATACTGGACATTTTTAAAAAGTATGAAATAAAGTTATTTTCTTTGCAAAGAGTGAGTTCAAGTAAAAACTGATTTTAGTGCATTTATTTTTTCTTCTATTTTTGACAGCAGAAGACAAACAGGGATTTCTTCCCTCTCTAACCCATGTTCTTTTCCTTCCTGCCTTTTTCCATATTGATGTCTACAAAACCCTAATAATTTTCTAAAAAGATGGTTCCACATGAAGAAGGCAGGCAAACATCTCAACAATTTTAGTGTCTTCAGTCAGCATAAGGAGAAAAAAAAAACTCTAGAATTTTTATTTTGCAAGATTTCTATGATTTTTCTGAAAAGTAATTTAAATCCACTGTTGAGGACATGGTCACTTTGTAAGAGGGTCCAATTAAATAGCAAATAGCAAATAATCTTTAAACCAACAACAACAACAACAAAAATGAAAACCAAATATTTGTTGCAGAAACTTCCTTTCCTCCACCTCTCCACAAACACCAGAGCCAGAGGTGTCGCATGGGAATGGAACACGACACCCTGTAACTTTTCAAGACCCATTGATGCTTTCCTTTAGAAGAAACAAGAGGAAGCTATTAATTGTCTTAGACTCAATTTCTCACAACCTGTGCTTTGAGAATGAAACTCGGACTCTACAGGGAATACATTTCTACCAAAAAGAATTTTCTCTCTCAACAATTGTGGATGGTTCTTGTTTTTCCTGGAGAGCTTTTCTCAAAGTTCTACATCATTGTCACCCCCTTTGAATGTCTCTTCTTTGTAGCTTATCTGGATATTCATTTTGCGTTTAGGTTATACTAATTCATTTTATTTCTTCCATTCTATTCCTTTCTGTTCCATTTTACCCAAAAAAACATTTATTCAGCATACATCCATTAGAACTCTCACTTTTAGGAGCTCTCAACTGAGCAAGAGTGACAGGGGAAATGACATTTATACTGATAACTATAATAAGACAACTACAATCTCAGAAGATTAATATTTTAAAAGAGATGTTCAAAACATACCCCAGGGATAAAGGGGAGAAAGCTGAAACAACTATGCACATGTTAGGGGAAGGTATTTGCTCAGAAATCAAACTCAAAATAAACGTTTAATCCAGGAACTACATCAAATTATAATATATGCTCATCAGCTCCCTTAAGGATAGCTTACAATGATTTTGCAAGGATGCACTCACACAGGACTGTTAAATTATCTGAGGCTTATGTGGGATGAATATTGTATAGAGTGCTTTAAAATATTGTTCTAAATGACTGTTAAGCTAGGTTGATTCATTTCATGGAATTTTACTGATTGTGGATTTTGTGCTATGACAGGTGCTAGACGTAGCGTCATGTAGAGCAAAAACCAGCCCATGTCCCTGATGTATGGACAGTGTTAAGCATGTCTTCTTAATCATCAACATGACCTAGAATAAAGACATATGTGAATTCCCCCCACTCCAGTCCTGGCGCGGAAGCCGTGTGTACCATGCTCTTCATAGCCCCAGTCAACTGAAAGAGCATGGCCAGGCTGCCTTCCCTGTCTACGTTGTGAGAAGGCACAAAAGGATGGATGTGAGAGTGGTCTCAAGAGTACAAGTGCTATATGTCTGAAGGGAGAGGTGTTATTAGAATAAGATATAGAAGCATTTTATAGCATGCTGGTAATATACATCCTCTGTAAAATGTGTTTTATTTAGAGTCATATCTTTTAAAAGTGTCAGAATTATAGAAATACATATTTTACATTTTTCTGAAATGACTTCTAATGCTTAATGGTTCTTCTTAGGAAAATAATTTGGCTTCTCCTAGAACACTGTGCTTGTCCTCTTGAGCTATGGGGAAAGCAAGATAAGACACAGCAGGTTGGCCTCCTGCCACACTGGGTTTCATCAGTCATGCATGCCGTCTTCCTGGTTTGGGCAAAGGAGCCCCAAAATCTTATTCTGACAGAGTTCTAATCACTCAATAAGTTCAGGGTCATGCAAACAAAATCAGGAAGAGATTTGTGGGCTTTGTTACATTCAAATTGTGCTAGTATACAAAACAAAGTAGATCCAAGATTACAAAGTTTTGCAATTCTAAGGCTAAGAGAGTCTCAACCCAGTGTTATAAAATGCTACTATGTTGGCACAGGTAGCTACAGAAAATTAAAGTCTTCACTATAGGAAAAAGCAAAGAGAAGATCACGATAGATTTGATGATGCCTTGCAGAGCCTTCCATAATGAGGATCAGCTATCTCCTCCTCAATAATAATTATGAGCAGGTATCTTATATGCACTCTTAAATAAAAGCCTAACAGTAATACTGGAGAAAATATTCAATGTGTGTCAGTATGTCTCTGTGTGTGTGAGTGATGCTGAAAAATGCTATACCATAGAATACTATGCAGCCATAAAAAGGAACAAGATCGTGTCCTTTTCAGGGACATGGATGGAGCTGAAAGTCATTATCCTCAGAAACTAACTCAGAAACAGAAAACCAAAACCGCATGTTCTCACTTATAAGTGGGAACCGAATAATGAGAACACATAGACACATGGTGGGGAACAGCGCACACTGGGGCCTGTTGGAGTAGGGAAGGGGGAGAGGGAGAGCATCAGCAAGAATAGCTAATGGATTAATGGATGCTGGGTTTAATACCTAGGTGATGGGATGATCTGTGCAGCAAACCACCATGGCACACATTTACCTATAAAACAAACATGCATATCTGGCATATTACCCCTGAACTTAAAAGCATAACAACAACAACAAAAAGAGAATAATATGGAAAAACAAAAACAGTGTATGGGGACAGGAAATGCTGGGGTGATGTGAGAAGGTTGCTCTTTTATAGGCTGTGATCAGAAAATGTCTCAATGATTTGGAAGCCTTCTGAGAAGGGAGCAGAAAGAAGTATCAGAGTGAGCCATGCATACCTCTGAAGAAAGCACATTCCAAGCAGAAGTAATAACCAATACCATGCCCTGAAGTGGGAGGACTTCTGCTAAGGTAAAGGAACAGAAAAGAGCCTTTTGGTCTCAAGCGGACTGAGGGAAATAGCAATAGAACAAGAGGTCAGGAAGGTGACCAGGCCAGGTGACACTCAGTGTTTCTGACCACTGTTAGACCTTTGGCTTCCACTCTGTCATTCCTTGAAGCAACTACCAAAGATAGAGGAGAAAACTGCAGCCCTACACCAAAATGGGAGGCTACGTTCTGTCCTTCTCTTAATTTTTTTTAAAAACACTGATGTGTGGCACTTTGACATTTTTGTTTGCAGTCAATAGTCATGAAAAGATCTCTTCAAAAGCTTTCAAAATATATTGACTAAGACTCCACCTCTTTAATCGAACAAAAGTTCATGGTTTTAGAGAACATGAATTATTTAGAGAACATGATGAATTATTTGTCTAAATATACTCTATATTTTTATAGATTTTAACTCGACTGCAAATAAAGTAATCAAAGGAAGAGAAAAATACTCTGCTTCAATAAATCCATTTCAAATCAAAAGAAAAATAGTGGTAGCATTACTTAAATGATGGCTTAATGTGATGTTATATAGTTTAGAGGTTCAAGGAGAAATAAAACTGGAAGATTTCACAAAGTTAATGGTCCAGCTGATGTCCTACACATCAAGAACAAAGTCATCTATTTTTTCTTGTGAATATCACAGCCCTAATATATGACCATAGGTTTCCATATTCCTTATTTCATTGGAGTCTGACTATGCATTCATTATATTCAAGGAACCACAGTGATCACAACTCAAATTTTTGCCATGCAGCTTCAGGTTCAGTATTTTACCTATTCAATTTAAGACAGAAGAATCATACAACTTTTAAAGGAGAGAGTATCTAAAAGCAACATCTAAGGATGTGGATATTTGTCAAGATCACTTGGCTTTATTTTTACTCAGTTCTTCATAGGGGAAGTTTGGATTTTCCTCCACAATTCCTCTGTAGTGGAAGTTTGAATTTTCATGTTTAATATTTTGAGGGGGATTTTGAAGAGGGTCCCAGTATTTTAAAATCATATGTATCAAGACATAGTGCACTGCTTTATTGGAAATGGGACACTCTGTAGACTTGAAGAGGAATAAACATTTATATCTTGCAAAAATTCGGTTGTTCCAAACCTCAAAAAAAAAATGAAATCCAGAAGAAGTGGTATATGCTACACAAATGGATTTGCATCCAAATGTAGGTACAGTCCCTATGGAGATACAGCCCTTTTGGGCCTCGGGCAAAAGACATGCTCTCAGAATTCTGGGAGTATGCTTCCCCAGTAGGTGGTAGCACACCTTGAAATTCAGTCAGGATGTTGATCCAGGCTGCTCAGGTGGAGAAGGAACAAGAACCAAAACTGGACAAGGCCACTAGGGACTAATGGTGGAGATGTGATGATTCCAGGCACAGGGGGCTGAAGAAAGGGTCCTCTGCCAGTCCTAAGACAGCATAGGAACAGGAACAGCATTATGCAAAGAGCAGAGGAGCAGTCTGCGAAGACAATCTAAGCTCCATTGACATGGGGGGCTAAGAGCAGCAGGGCTAGGCATGGCTGCTCATGCCTGTCATGCTGCCATCCTCAGAGGGGCTGAGGTTGAGGGCTTGTCAGGGGCTGGAGGGGTCTTGCCTCATCACTATGGCATAGATTTCCTTGTTAGGCCTGGCAGAATATGAGATACCCAAGAGCAAGGGGCCCTCAGCTGTCTGCAGAGGGGAGAACCACCTCAAGCTGAAAACCATTCATTTCACAAAGATGGGAGGAGCATGGTGACAGGCATCGCAGAGGAGGCAGAGGAATTCCATGCTCAAAAGCTCAGTCTGGAACTCGAATGCCTGGGATTGAATCCTATTCTGACTCTCACTGCCTGTCTGATCTTGGGCGATTGATTTCCTCTCTATGCCTCAGCATCCTTAACTGGAAAACAGAGATGTGCATTATAAGCATGTCACAGAGTTATCCTGAGGATGCAAGGGATAATTACTTCAAGGGCATGGTGGCAACTGGGGAAGAGCCCGGTTCATGCCCGTGACTATGTTAACTTCAGCGAGTTAACATCACGGTGCGTTCTGCCAACAGGGAACACTATTCAAACAATAAGCCAACATTCGAACACAATGTGCTATTTCCTGATTCTTAGGCATACAGGACCCAAAGAACCCAGTATTGTCCTATTTATCTTGTCTGTGGCTTAAAGTCACATTTCAAGAAGCAGTGAAGAGGAAGGTAATAGGTTGTGAAACACAGCTCTGAAGTTGCTTAATCACCTCATACATCAAATCATGATTGAGTCAGGACACTGATGTTAAAGTGAAGTCCAAAAGTGTGAAAACTAGGTAACTATTTGGGATCCTTAGGGAAATTAAGTCTTCATTAGACCGCGCCTTATATGTAGTGTCTTGTCTCCGTCTTATCATGGCCCCTCTGCAAATGAAAGTGTTCAGCTCCTCTAAGAATTAGTATTTATCAATCATGTTTCACTGTTGGATTAAATATATTAATAAAATCCTCATCCAACTTGATAGGTCTGGGGTAGAGCCCGAAATATGTCATTTTTACAAGAACTTAAAACATTCCCATAATCAGGCCAATTTAGTCAAAATTTGGAAACACTACAGCAGAAGATATGTAACTGCTGAACGTAACCTTGGATCCAGGGAACAGCTTCCCAAGCCAATTTCCAGTAGGAGCCAGAGGGTTTTGATGAAGCTGTCCATGTGGCCCTTTGGTCTTGTCTTCTGGTGCCTTTACATATTGTAAATCCACATGGTTCTCTTTTAAAATTAATTAATTATTATTATTATTTTAGTTTAAGTATTCTGGGATACATGTGCAGAATGTGCAGGTTTGTTATGTAGGTATACATGTGCCATGGTGGTTTGCTGCACCCATCAACCCGTCATCTAGGTTTTAAGCCCAACATGTATTAGGTATTTGTCCTGATGCTCTCCCTCCCCTTGCCCCCCACCTGCTGACAGGCCCCAGTGTCTGATGTTCCCCTCTCTGTGTCCATGTGTTTTCATTGTTCAGTTCCCACATACAAGTGAGAACATGCAGTGTTTGGTTTTCTGTCCATTGTTAGTTTGCTGAGGATGATGGTTTCCAGCTTCATCCATGTCCCTGCAAAGGACATGAACTCATTCTTTTTTATGGCTGCGTAGTATTCCATGTGCATATGTGTCACATTCTTTATTCAGTCTATCATTGATGGACATTTGGGTTGGTTCCAAGTGTTTCCTATTGTAAATAGTGCTGTAATAAACATACATGTGCATGTGTCTTTATAGTAGAATGACTTATAATCCTTTAAGTATATACCCAGCAATGGGATTGCTGGGTCATATGGTATCTCTGGTTCTAGATCCTTGTGGATTCGCTACACTGACTTCCACAGAGGATTCCCTATGTAATAAATGGTGCTGGGAAAACTGGCTACGCATATGCTGAAAATAGAAACTGGACCCCTTCCTTACACTTTATACAAAAATTAACTAGAGATGGATTAAAGACTTAAATGTAAAACCTAAAACCGTAAAAACCCTAGTAGAAAACCTAGGCAATACCATTCAGGACATAGGCAAGGCCAAAGACTTCATGACTAAAACACCAAAAGCAGTTG